GAAATGTTCCATTGCGAAGATATAACCATGATTATGGACAACGATATTCGTTCACAGGAACTTATGTTGGACAGACTCAATTATTCTTCGTACTGTAGATTCTGAATAATAGATGCGAAAGAGCGATTGGTATGTATAAGCGCAAAACATAGTGATAAAAGGGTAGCAGGGTTGTTGAAGTATCTAGAGTGTCTTCTAACAAAGCCAAGCATCTTATCCGTTTCATCTTTATGGCTATTTGAGCTCCATTTCGTATCTAGTATAACATCCAGTTCTACGATATTGCGTACAGAATTAATATTGACATTCTCTATCTGATGCGGAAACTCCAATAAGTTTCTTTTTTTCGTGTAAAAAGCATTTTTCAATGTTCAGTGGCAGGTCACTTCTCTGACAATAATCGTTGAGTTTGTCGATATCAGATCTTTAAGTCATCTGCGTAGAGAAGAAAATGGCAATGGCTGAAACATTGTGCCATTTCATTTATATAGGTTAAGATGAACACTACACCTAAGTGGCTACCCTGAGGAACTCCAGATGTTGGAATAACGGCTCTGGACTTACACCCGTTTTTACACACGAAGAATTCGCTGTCGCGCAAATAGAATGAAACCTGCATCACAAGAGGGCTACGAACACCAACCTCAGCAAGTCTTGTTAATAGCAAATTATGATTAACTCGATCAAAAGTATTACCATTACAAATAAAAAGAGACGTTAATCATTATACAAAGCTAATAAATTCCAGATTCATCGATAAACCGTTTCACCATTTTTCAAGACCGCGTAATTTCTAGAAAACCAAGTATCCCACACGGAGAAGATTTGTTCGCAACGCTAGACACTTTGTTTCTGCAATTAAGTAGACAAGCAGACTGAACCTTGACGATGCTTCCATCTGTAAATCTCACTGAATCGTGGATCTGATTCTCCAAGTGATGGGTTAAAAGCCTCATTTAGAACGGAAAAGAGTTATCGACGAGTTCCTCATGAAAAATAGCAAGATCCTGGGTGCTCCTGAGGGAGTCGTCGTCTAAATTTATGCGTTAATTTCGACTGCGCTAAGAGTTAATCTTGTCACTAGAGTTGGAAGAGAATTATGGGGGTGTAACACAATTAATCCAGGTATAGGCGTTGTGGCAGGATCTACAACCGGATGCAGCTTAACAATAAGTCAAGTCTCCGGAAGTCTGACAAATCGTTTGTACTAATTTAGGAAAACTTTACTGCAACCGTATTTGAAGGAGCTTAGTGGTAAATGTTTCGGGGATATTCAACAAATTGCTCAATGCTGGACTCAATCTGAGTTTTTACTGCAAATGCCGATTTTTTTTTATATCGAAGCAGCCGCGATGGCAGAAGCCTAAGTGCCGGAATACCGCGGCTGCTATAATGATCCCAAAGAAATTTTGTTCAGAAGATTTTTGAACGGCCTAAGGTTAGTAGAATTGGAAAAAGCTTCCTCGGGACAAAGGAGCGGTCGTATCGCCCAGTTCTGGATGTACGAAGCTCGACACGGTTAGGATGGGTCGCCAAAGTCAGGCGGGTCTGTCTGGCAGGCACATCGCGCGGCGGCATAACGGAAGAGAGCTCCGAGGAGCAAAGCCCGTTGATGTAGCGGTAGAAAAGAGTTAGATCGCCCACGGCCCGCCGCACAGTGTGGCGCCCAATGGACAAAATTACTCAAAAATATAATTTTTGACATTAGAATTCTGTTGCTTTTATTATACCATTTTTTTCAAAATCAAAATAAAGTTCATTTAAAGCAACATATTTTCTTGGAAGATATCAATATAAATATTTTGGACGATGATCCCATCACAAATGAATACTTGAATATCCTATCAAGTAACGGATTTCTGTCCTATATAAACCTACCTACAAGGTCCATCAGTGGCACATGTATAGATCACTGCTTTGTGAAAGACCTATTAAACAAAATTACTTGTATACCAATAATCCTAGAAAGCGATATTACTGACCACTTCTCCACTATTTTACTGATATCTTCAAATGAAAAACATTCTAACATCCCTACCGTTAGTAACAACCAGGAAAATTACAAATTTTTTGTCGACAATTCAAAACTAATATCAAATGTCAAACAAGAATCCTGGGAACAATTATAGTCTATAAATAATATAGACAAAGCAACGGGACTGTTCATATAGAAAATAAAAAAACTAATAGATATTAGTACCAATAAAGTAATAATTAGTCACAAAGAGAAAAGCAGAAATGCCTGGATTACCAAAGGATTAATAACATCGGCAATAGAAAAAGAAAGACTATATAATGTAATGAAACTAACGCCAACTACAGAGAATACCGACTGCTACAACCAATATAAAAATAAATTTATAGAGCTTGTAAGGCAAACCAAACGAAAACATTACCTAAATAAATTGAATAATAACTTAAATGATCCTAAGCGGCTTTGGACAACTATTGATGAGATTACTGGGAAAACAAAAGTTAAAGAGTGTGTCACTGAGTTAAATACAACATCGGGAACAGTATTAAAAAATACTCAACAGATATGCGATGAATTTGTACAATTCTTTACTGACATAGGCGAAAATTTAGCAAGTAATATACAAGCAAATGTACAAAATACTCAGCCTCCAAAAAGAACTTTGAACTCATTTATTTTGGATAAAGTCGAGCAATGTGAAGTATACACCACTGTTATGTCCTTAAAAAATCGGAAAAGTCCTGGGTTCGATGGTATTAAAAGCGAGCATTTGAAAATTATAGCCGAGGACATAACAGAACCACTCACTTACCTAATCAACAAATGCTTTGAATCTGGCATATATCCCTCAATTTTAAAAAAAGGTAATATAATACCGATACATAAATCAGGAACAAAAACAGATGTTAACAACTATAGACCAATATCAATAATATCCAGTGTATCAAAGGTTTTTGAAGAAGTTTTATCTACTAGAATGATTCGATACCTCACAAAATTCAAAATTTTAAGTGAAAATCAATATGGATTTACAGAAGGGAAGGCTACATCGGACGCAATAACTAAAATTGTAAATCAAATACATCAAAATATTGATAACAGAATCCCTTCAATCTGCATTTTTGTTGATTTAAAGAAAGCTTTCTACACAGTTAATCACAAATTATTATTAGAAGCATTGGAGAGAATTGGTTTCAGAGGAAACGCGTACTCACTGATCGAAAGTTATTTGTCAAATCGCCCACAATCTGTGCAGATATCAGGATCATTTAGTAAAGAAATGTATATTAAGTGTGGTGTCCCACAAGGAACTGTCTTAGGTCCGCTGTTATTCAATATATATTTAAATGATATTTTCCAAATTAATTGTGTTGGCAAAATAACTAGTTATGCAGATGATACTGCAATATTATATGAAGGCACTGACTGGTCTGATCTGAAAAATGTAATTGAAAATGATTTTATCAAAATTATTCGGTGGTTTAACAGTAGAAAATTAAGCATTAACTACTCTAAAACACATTTTTTACCATTTGGATCTTATGCTAGACATCTGCCAAATTACACAAATTTCTCCTTCAATATTAATGATCAAAAAATGCAAATTAATAGAGTGCCCAACATAAAATACCTTGGAGTAGTCTTGGATGCTCACTTACGATGGGACATCCATGTCAATTATATTTTAAAGAAAGTTAGATTTGTATCCTACAAAATTAAATACCTTGGGAATATATTGACAGAAAAATATCTTCGAACATTATACCATGCACTGATTGAGCCTCATCTCACATATGGTATATTAGCATCTGGAGCTGCATGTTCCTCACATATTTATAATTTAGATGTTTTTCAAAAAAGTATTCTAAAAATGATATTTAAAAAACCGAAACTTTATCCCACTGAAAAATTATACGCAGATGTTCGAATGTATGATATAAGACAGCTTTATTTCTTACACAGTATCACTCACTACCATAAACTTGTAAACACCGGCCAAAAAATTAAACATAGTCATTATACCAGGTACAAAATTCGTGGCACAGTAGTTCCTCAACCGCATAAATCTATAATGCAGCGATCATATCTCTATTTAGCGCCTAAATTTTATGAAATTATACCTAAAGACTTAAAAGATTTACGTTTCGGAAATTGTTTCAAAAGAAATTTAAAAAAGTGGCTACATTCTATATCTAGGACTGAAATTCATAAACTCATAAATACGAACATCAACTAAATACATAATCTACTGTAGCTAATTTTTGTCCTTTTTTGTCATTTGCATTCTACAGTTTCAACTTAAATTTATTGGTCCATGTACAGGCGATGCCTTCTATTGGGTCTGTTTTTATTTTATATTTATTTACTCATATTGTTTGTTATCTTTGTACATTGAGTGAATAAATATATTATTATTATTGGATAGATAAATAGTCACTGCAACACGTAAGTATAGTACTTTAATCAAGTTGGCTGCGATTTACCTATTTTAGCAACTTTAAAGTTACACATGTCGAGACCTGTCAAGAAGGCGAAAAATCTCTCTGTTTTATTGCTCGGGAAAGATATAAATTTTGTGTCGAAATATTTAAATATTTTAACTTTTCCAATATGGCCGGTAATGAGGCTGGTAAGTACATTATATAGATGTATAGGTTTATTTAAAATATAATTATAATTAGATAATTTTTTAAGTTAAAGTGACTATTACCGATTTTTTTAATTTTTTTTAAACTTTTGACTTCGTTTAGAGTTTTACAAAAATGACCTCCCATCACCCTAAACATTTTTTTGTTTATTGTTTATCTGTCCATAGTAAGTTTTGATAAAAAGTTTAAATCACGTCATGCCACGTTTAAGGGAGATATAATTTTTTTTAGGACATGGTGCTATTGTCAGAAATAGAGATTTGATTGATGTGTGGATAGAAGCACCGAGAGGAAATAGAAAACAGGTGGTTTATGAAAAGATATGATCTCTTATTGATATAACAGATGAACCTTCCAAACATCTTAAAAGTAATATCATGAAATGCAGCCAGTTGTTTGGGTTGAAAATGGCAGAAAGTAGGACAATCTCGGAATCGACTTTTACAAAATCAGGTATATTGGTTAGACAAGATTATATATAGAATAAATAATGATTCTGAAGAAAACACATCTTCGGATGAGGAACAAGAACCTCCTTGTCGCTCAGTTGGACGGCCACGGGTGCCATTTGAAGAGGCATCCAAGAAAACAAAACGAAGACGTGTAGCCGAACTAACCACAGTCAGATCTGCAAATGAACTTCAATTTGCTGTTAATGTCGTTTCTGGAAGCAATCACAGTGAGGTCTCGCCACAAGTTTTTAGTTTTAGTACAGCTGAAGCTTTAGCCCTTATGGTAGATTTGGATATAAGTATTTGCTACTTACTTCTGTTATTAATGGTAAGGCCCAGAACTGCCTTCCTAGTTATACAGAATTACAGAAAACAAAAAATGCTATCCTCCCTTCACAATTTATTATTACTGATATTTCTGCAGAAGTTGCTTTGCAAGAACTTGTACAGAAAACAGCTGAAAGTATACTTGAAATAATAAATGTTGAAGAGAGAGATTGCCGGATCAAAGTGATATGCAAGTGGGGATTTGATGGCAGTTCTGGGCATAGCCAATATAAGCAGAAATTTTCTGATTTAGAAAACACCGACGAATTTCTGTTTCTTGTAGCAATGACGCCACTCAGATTGATTGATATGGATACGAATAAGGTATTGTGGAAAAATTAGAGCCCTTCATCTACTTTATATTGTAGGCCGATCAAGTTTTTATTTAAAAAGGAAAATGCTGATTTAGTGCGGAATACGGAAAAGGAAATAACAACAAAAATTGAAAATTTGCTTCCTATTGAGATTAAAACAAAAGAAGGGCGCTCTTATATAATTGAAGTTGATATGATGTTAATAATGTTGGACGGCAGTGTTGGAAACGTTCTATCAGAGACAAATTCAACTATGAAGTGCATCATTTCATAGCTTTTGGTTGCTAAAATTTGCTGATTGGAACTTGAAGCTCATTCGCTATTTGTGACGGACTGTTACCCTATAGGTAAAGAATAACGGATTCATGGTGAAATCCACCTGAGTACGATAGGATGCTTTTATTACATTGTGCCGCCGTAAGTTTTCATTTAACATTCTGGATGAAAGGGTCCCCTCCTTTCCTTCTTTCCTGCAATAAATGTCTTTCGGCCTGACCTCGTATTTTTTTGGATTACCTCCTCCATGCAAGTAAGATGTTTTGCCGGTATCCTGGAATCTACGCCTTAAGCGGTATATTGTAGACCGATTAACATTATGAATTAAAGCCACATCAATCATTCACTAAACGACCTTCTCCCAATAGACTTATGCTCGTAGAATTCTCTCGTCCTTTTTGAAAAAGAGGCAACAATAGTTGAAACATTTTCTGACAGTTTTTGAGGCATCTGGCGGGGCGTTCCGCATTATCAGTTAGAAAAGTTGTAAGGGCTGACGGAGGAACTTTATTGAGAGTTTCTGCATAAATAAACAATCACCTTTCCGAAAAGGAGTAATCAGTAATTTCTTATTAATTATTGGATCACGGAGACTTAAAAAAGTTCGAAAGCGTAAACCAAGTTCGCGCCTGTTAAGGGGAATGTTTCCTACTTTTAGAACTGTAACAGTCAAAGTGTAATTAAAGGATGCTGCGGAACAAAGGGTAAAGTAAAAATTAATTACCGTAAGAAGAGAGTGCGAAGTGGCTGAAAATACCAACGAAACAGAAGCCCTTTCCTTTGTAACTAATCAACGATCTATTTATCAAGAGGATACGCTAACGCGCCAAAAACTAAATGATACTTTCTAGTTCCAAATTCAAACTTTAACATGTTTCTGTGGTTATTGTGATGCTTGGTAGCAGTACTGACTGAGATAACGCCATTATTAATTATTTTAGATCAATTCATGATTGTGTCCTATCTTGCCTAAGAACCGCCAATGCGTCAGATTTAAAATTTTGTACCTGCATTTGGTAAAAGTTTAGTGCTAGTGCTATACTTGCCAATATGATATTGTCAAATATTGCAACAAAAACATTGCCCATTTAGAGGCTCCTTTATGTGAAGCAACGACTGGGAATACAATTATCAACAGTTGTATTAAAATTATTGAGTAACTCCAGAAATATATAGAAATAATGGAACCTGTTTACTCATGTCATGTGTGCAAGAGTAGCACTTGCCTTAAAAGCATTCTTGTTTAAGCTCCAACAATAACTTTGTACAAAGTTCAAGAAAGGAACATGTGAATCAAAATTTAGTATATATAGACTTCGAAGTTAAGTCATTTATTTTAACAGTGAGTAGATCTGATCAAAAGAAATGTTTTTTTCCTTTAACATTTTTCTGGTAAAATTAAAGTAACAAAGTTATAGACCTTTAGAAGTTTGAGTACCGCCCTGTCTCAATAACAATATTATGTGCTCGTGTTTGGCAACAACGGATATAATCCGCATCGGTTCATCGCATCGGAAACAAAAAAGCGAAAGAATTTGAAACGCTTATCACGATGTTTTTAGTTGTATTCAGTCGGTAACGCGTGAGTGAATAGTGGTATTTGTTGCGTGGCTCAAACGAAATAAAAAATGGCACATGTTTACGAAAATGTGGAACTTGTGGACATGATTCTTATTTACGGGGGGGGGGAGTCTTTACAAAATCGGTTTCCCAATCAAGTGCAACCAATCCCTCGTGCCTTTGTTAATGTAGTACAAAGGGCTCGTGAATCAGGTGACTTAAGACCTCAAAGTGGAGCGCATGCCGGTGCTCCAAGATCGCACGATCAAATACAGGTCCGCACTGAAATACTTGTCGGGAGGATACTTTATAAAACAATGTAAATTTTTTTTTTATTTTTTTTTATTTTTACACACATATTTTGGTTTATGTGAAAATTAATGACTCAACTTCAAAGTATATACAGAGTAATTGTTTTTTCGTCAAAACGGGCTTTTTGTCATTTATACGTGTATCCCATTCGAATGTTTGTATTTTAGTGTTTGTGAAAAAAGGCAACTAAGTTACACAACGTTTCCTGCATTTACGTAATTGTTTTTTCGTCAAAACGGGTTCTTTGTCATTTATTTTTTTATAAGTTTTGTATTCCATTTAAAAATTGTATCTTTGTGTTTGTGAAAAAAGGTATTCAAGTTACACAAAGTTTCTTGCATATACGATGATTGTTCAATTGAAACCCATCTTTGGTCAGGTTCGCTTTGGAAACAATCCTAATCACTCCACTGAGGTTTTGCAATGTTAGCTGTGTGTGCAAACGTCACACTTATCAGTTCCTGTCATTTGTATTTGACTGAAATTTTAAGAATGCTTTTATTATTAGCAATCCGACCAAATCTAATCAGCGTGCTGAAGGTTTGCAACTATTGCAAATTCGTACGCGAATGCAAGCAGTGCATGGAAACGCAGGGTTTGAGCATACAACCATCAAAGAATGGTGTTGAAAATTTAAGAGAGGAAGAGAGGAGACGAATGATAAGCCGCGAACAGATGCATTGACTACTGAATCAAAAGACAGGAATGTGGCATGAGTCGAAAGCATGCTTAGAGGAAATCGTCTAATTTCAATCAGAGCCATTTCAGAAAATGTTGGTGTGAGTATACGATCTGTCCATAGCATCTTACATAGATTGGGTTACAACAAAGTTTATGTTCCTCGCCGTTTGTCAAAGGACCAAAAAAGCTTGCTGATGGGCTTTTCTTTGTAACATCTCACGGAATACAAGCAAAACGATAATGACCTACTTCCGTCAATAATTACTGAAATGAAACTTTGATCAATCTCCACCAAGCAATAAGAGGACAACGTCCAGGGACGCTCTCACGTAGTGTCGTAGTGTCATTCTTCTGCAAGACAATCCTCGGCCTCATATTGCCAGCGTAGTGAAAGAAAAATATACAAAGAACAAAATGGAGGATATTAGATCATCCACCGTATAATCCCGATTTGTTGCGTTGTGATTTTCACATATATGGGCCACTGAAAAAGGCATTAAAAGGTATGCATTTTCAGTCGGATGAAGAAATGCAAAATGCCGTAACAGAATTCTTCTAGCAGCAGCCACAAGAATTCTTTAAGCATCGATTGGTCTTAATTGTAGTGGTAATTATTTGTAGATATATTTGCCAATCATTTTTTCTGGACCAAACATACTGCATACTTTTTCTGATCCACTTTTAAGCTCCTTTGTCTAGAAGCTATGTGACCTGTTTTTGTTTTCACTTAGACATTTCTAGTCTATAGAAAATCGGAAGTCTCGAACACAAAGAGATCATTGTGCTAGGAAAAGATCACGTTGTTTGTTTATAAAAAGCTTACTACATGAGGATTTGTAGGCTTACTACATGTTTCCATGTAGATCTCAACCTCACCGTAAAACCTCGTTACTGCATGTCTCCACGAAAGTCTGCGAAAACAAGTTAGATTCAATTTCATGTGCAAATATTGAAATCAATACATTCACCAGTTCAGTTACCCGCATTTGGAATTGTATTTGTTGACAGAAAAGTTGCTGCAAATAAAGCGACGAACTCGCTCCGCTGTTTGACAACGCGACGGAACTCGTTCATTCTTTATTCGCGATCTTGCCGTCCTTTGTTTTGCTGCTTGATTTGCTGAATACTTTGTTTCTGATTGAGTTTGGTACGCGCTTAGTCCGCAGCTTTTATATCGGTTTGTTTTCTGTCACTGCAGTCTTCATCTGCACGTTTGACAAAAAGCTATTATTATGGTAATGACACAACAATGCTATGGCTTTTGTGAGTATCCTCTGCGGCGATTATTTTTAAGTTATGTAACTTTCTCTCATTTCAGTGTGATTAGTATCAGGATGTTTGATCTCAGTTGGGATGGACAAAATTTCTTGTAAATCTATCTCAGAATCTGAAGATGAATTTTGAATGTTGGTAGGATATCGTAGGAGTAGAGGAAGCAACATATACTCAGTAACATTAGAAGTGTTACATCCAGAAAAAATATTTCTTCAACTTGTTTTTTTTTTTGGCAAGATAATGAATATATTTAAAGTGTGCTGTGGTAACAAAGTCGACGTTTTATATTTATTTTTGGCACTGAAGAGAAATATTAACTTAAAAAATCGTCTTCACAGACAAATTAAGAACGGTAACGTTAGCTAAGAGGTTAACAAAAATTACTGTAGCGCACGAAACTGCAAACGAGCGTCGGGTCCATTATGACAGAATTGAACATAATGTCAACGATGACCCCAACAGCTTTTGGGACTTCGTAAGGTCTAATCGTGCAAAGCCTGGTATTCCTTCAGAGGCTATGTATAAGGGTTGTGTCATTAGTGATTCCCATGAGATATCCGATACGTTTGCATTGTATTTTGGATATTTCAACAGTCTGGGAAACCAAATTTTGATATGTGTAATAGTGGCTACACATCCTCCCAGGTCACCGAGGCGCAAGTTAAAGCAAGTATCAGAAGGTTAAAACCAAAAAAAAGCAACTGGTAATGACTACATCGCTTCATAGATTTACAAAAGGTGTTCAGATATATTGAGTGCTCCATAAATGACAACCTTAAATCTGTCCTTAAGGACAGACACATTCTCAGAGAAATTTAAAAATGCGTCTGTAACTCCAATATTCAAGTTAGGAGATAATAATAATAATAATAATAATAATAATAATAATAATAATAATAATAATAATAATAATAATAATAATAATAATTCTTTATTGCCCAACAGAAGCATCCATTTATAGGACAATATAAGTGAAAAAGAAGA